CGTCATTATTGTGTTTAAAAGTGATTGGAAGGGTATTGGAGAGGAAGGGTATTAGAGGGTATTAGAAGGGTATTATTGTGATTAGAAGGGTACTAGAGCCTTTAATTCCCCTTATTTGAAGGGAGAACAAGCAAAAAAGAGAGACTTTATGATGAAAGATCTCGAGATAAAAACTAAAAACATCACCAAACTCTTTTGCGTTTTTGAGTGTCTGAAGAGGATGACGTTTTTCTTCTTCTTCATCTCCACGGCTGATTTGTTGTAAGGGGAGAAAAAAAAAAAAGAAAAAGAGATATGGAAAACAACAAAGAGAAAACAGCGAACGATGCCGGATCAGTAGTCGAAACTATAGTCACTGAGGACAAAAGCACCACTCCCCTTTATCAAGTCGAAAGCCTCTGCATGCGCTGCACCCAAAACATATTGCTTTCCTTTTTTTCTTATTCTTAATTCAACCCTTTTACTTTTATTATTTTGAGTTTAATTAATTTTAATTAATTAAATAGGGAACAACAAGATTTTTATTGATTTCAATTCCACACTTTAGGAAGGTAAACAAGAAACTACTAAAATTTTCTTTTGTTTTTAACTTTTTTTAGTAATTTATGGTTTTGGTTTGCAAATCTTGCTCTCAGCATTTGAATGTCCGCATTGTGGTGAAAGTTAGGAAGCTTCAAAGCTGTTTCAGCTTCTTCTCAACAGTTTGGGCCTGTTGAATCCCATGGTGGCTTTAAAGCTGGAAATCATGAGAAGGGAAAAGTTTATATAGGTCCTAATCCTTTACATAATAGATGGTTTAGAAAAAAAAACAAATTTTAAATATTTTAATTCTACTTCTTTCCTTAACTATAAATCTTAAATCTTTGTTTGTCACAATTTGTTGTTTTATTTCGATAAATTGACTATATTGTGGTTCAATATCTTGATCATATTATCAGGGCCAAGAAACTGATCTCCCAAAACCTGATGTTTTTCTTGATATGTAAGTGTTGATTTCCAGAGTTTCCACCTATTATTGGTTTCTTTTAGATGTGTGCTTTAAAATCAGAGTCATTAGTTATAGTGCCTTGCCAAATTCTAATCTGGCAATTGATGATTAGGTTGCCTCTACTCTACCATAGTCTTCAATTCAGCCTAAGAATAAAATTTGTAAGAATAAGAAGGTTATGAAAATTGTTTGCTAGTATCACCTAATACAATGCTGATTGCCAGGTTATTTGTGAACAAGTTTAAAGGTTCTTTCAACTTCCCGTTATGTTAAAATCTTTGCATATCTTCCTTTTCACTCTCTTCTCGCCTGAGAGCTTTGGTGTCTTTGTATTAATTTGTTGGCTCTGAGCATGTTTCTTCATGCATGTCCATCTCTGTTAGAATAATAATATAATTGCAATATGACTAAAATCTCTGCATGGTATACAAGCTCCAGAATTAATTTTTATTCTCCTTTCAAATGACAGGTCCAATTTAGTGAATTATGGGAATTAAGATAGGCCAATTTTGAGTTACCTGCGATTTATGATTTGACCAGGTTCCCCGTGGTTCATAGGACAATCTTGAAAGTGCAGTATGCTATGATTTGTACCTTTGGTGTTAGCATATTTGAAGACGTCTATTACCATCATCTTGGGCAGGGAAAGAGTCGAAAGAAATAGCAAGACAGTGTGTGGTATTTTCACATATGCTGAGAAAGAATATTAGATATTCTTTTTTGTTTAAGTATTTGCACAGGCATGTTTGTGTTTTAGACTAAACTTTTATATTTTTAATTAATTTTCCTTTATTTCCATATTATCTTAAGTTATGGAATTATACTTTTGTTTTGTCATTCGTAAGCGGATGTAGGTTTGTAAGTATATAGGCATTCAATTGTAACCTTCATATTCGTTTTAACTTTGCTTTTTAAAGGTGGAGGAGTTAACTACCGTGGCGTGTCCTTTTCACTTCTACAATTGTGGTTGTTATGGTGCTGGCTGCAATTGGATAGTGTAAAATTGCAGATTTAGGGATGAGTAATTGGTTGGTTTGATCGATTTGATTTAAAAAAATTAATAATTAAATTAATTAATTTTCATTCAACAAATAATCAAATAGATAAAAAATTTTTAAATAATTGACCGTAATTAAATTGACCAAATCAATTCGGTTCGATTAAATAACCAAATTTTTTATAATTTTTTTTATTATGAATAACTATTTAATTACAAATTCAATTAAATAAAATTCAAAATCAAGTATCATTCGAACTAAATCACTAAAAAATTTAATAATTTCAACAATATTTTATATAAAAATAAATAAATAAAAATACTCATCTCAATTTTTTTTACTTTTATTTATTAAAAAATTGATTAATTAGAGTATCAATTTTATAAATTAAAAATCGATCGAATTAATAAATTTAATTGATCTAAAAAATTTATTATAATCAAAATCAAATAAATCAAATCCAATCAACTGAATTCACTCGATTTCAAACAATTTAATCGGTTCAAATCAATTTTTGCACACTCCTATGCAAACTGTGGACATTTTGGCTCCAGAGGTTTTATAATATGGGATATATGAGAGTTAGGATCTGAACTTCCTTAAGCTCATGCATATATATATATATATATTTTATTCTTTAACTCTTGCTCGGCTTTAGACTAACTACTTCCAACTTTTTCCCCTTCCTTCCTTCGCAGTGGTCAAGAGGACTATTCTTCTGAGGAATTATTGCCGATAGTTATACGAGTTATTGGAGATTTGCTAGGTAGAGCTTTTTCATTGGGTTTAACATCTGTTCTTATGATCTTTGATGTAAGACAGGGAGGGATTACAATAACCATATTCATATTGTTACAATAGATCAGTTACATCAATAAATCCCTGGAAGGATGCTGATCCATTTTATTGCCTCATCTCTTGCAAACTTAGTATGCCAATGCCTAGCATAGCAAAGAGTAACAACAAGACTCAAATTTGTGTCCTTATTGTAATAGTGACATTTCTTCATATTTTCTCCTTATTTAATTTAAACCATAGATGGTGTTGTATATCTAATCCAAAAGGATAAGGAATCTTGTGAAACCAAATCTTGCTTAGAGGATCAGTTTGTGATATTACTGCATTTTGAAAAACCAGGAATTAATGTATCTGGTTGTATATTTACTGTTTGTTGATGGTAATAAGTGACAAAAATGTGTTTGGTCTATGCATGCTGCAAAGAGATGTCTTGTGGAATATGGAATTTCTACAGTTTACTTGATAAAGTTGATAACTGCAAAATAGTGCAAATAGGATTTGTCAAGAACTTTTAAAAGTATCTTAGCTGCTGCAGATATGGGTTTGCTTGGACCAGTTGAGCTTGTGGTGAACCAAATTTTGGTTTCCACCCAAATGGGTCAACCTCGGATGAACTTAGGAGCATATCTTTGTTGCAGAAGGGTACTTCTTACTGATATGACTCAATGTATACCCTGGGTTGTCTGCTTTTGCCAATGTGGAGCCCACCATGACAATGGATGTATGTCTCAGTGCTTTGGGTGTCATAGCCAAAGAAAAGTAAGGAGCACAAAGCATTTTCCCTCTCTCTGTTTATCACTTAGTTTTTTATTGGTTTGGCAGGCGTAATCCCATCATCTTTGGTTGTGTAGTCAAGGAAAAGTAAATATGTTATGGTTGTATAGTCAAGAAATAGAATTGCAATTTCTGGGGTTTATGATGCTAAACAATTTCGCATTGTTAAGGTGCTTAGTTATTTCACATGAATTATATCTCTTTCATCCATCTAGTTATTTGTCATGATTCATACTTTCAAATTTAAAAAGTAATTGATACTGTTTATATATCTCATTTCAGAAGGTTTGGATGTTGTACATGCAAGAGGACTAAGAGAGTGTCTTCCCAATGCTTGCCGCATTACTGTACATTACTGTAAATGGGAAATGTCTCATTCACCATAATTAGCAGTAGACACCAGGATTAAGAAGAAAAATATGAGTTTTCGTTTTAATCTTAATAATGCACATTTGTGTATTTTTATAATTATATTATTTTTACACGTTATTTTCTTTATTTAAAAAAATTTTAATTTCTTTTAAAAATCTTTATTAATATATAATAAATAAAATATTATAAATCCCATAATGAAGTACGGATTTACATACTAATAATAATAAAAAAATACAACTCCCATCAAAACTCTTTAAAAACCTCACATTCATATCCACTTCCGAAGTCCAGAATAATAATCTTTTGTGTTGGAACTTCAAATTTTTTTATTTTTGAATTTCAACTTAGACTTTCATTAATATTAAGACTTTTAATTTGAATTCTAAATAAATCTGTTTAAGCAACTTTCCTGTCTTTTACTGTTAAACTTTGTCTTCCATATCTTCACTTTTCAAGTTAATTTCTTACACTTTTCCCCTAGTCTTTGGTCTTTTTTTTTTTTTTATATATTTTGATAATAAAAATTCTTGTCTTCTCGAATTGTCTGATAGTAAAGAAGATAACGAAAATTTGCTCACCCTATCACGCTTAGTAGAGCCTACGTCATGAGTGCCACCATTATCTTGCACTAATCGTGAGATTGAAAATAATATAGAGATAAAATTAATTATTATAATGATGAGATTAAAATTAATTATAAAATATATATTTAAATATAAAAATAATGATGGTGATGAGATAAATTTTAGTTAAAAGATTATAGTGGAAAAATAAAATGACATATTGACTAAAAATTGTAAGTAAAAAATTTTAAATTATTTATTATATAATAATAAATTTTATTTTTATATTAAAGTAGTAAAATTACTTTATAACTTTTAAATAAAAAACTCAAAATCTGGGAAAAATTTTTTTTAAAAATTCAGAATAAAAGATTGAAAAAAAAAAGTTAAAAACTGCTAAAGAAAAATGAATGAAAAAAATGAAAAAGTTAACTGAACCTTCAACTTCAGTTAACAAACAATGAAAATCTTAAAACATCAAAGCATTGTCTGGATATCAAAGCTGCTGTTGGCACAATTTTTCAAAACAATTGCACCACTACTGAGGGTCCGATGCATTCCAAATGGGGCCAAATCCTTCAACCCACGTGTTTACCCTTAATGACAGCTGCTCCTGTACAATTACCGCAAATTTCGTTTTTCCAGCAATTTCTCTCAATTCCCCAAGCCCCGCACTCCCTTCATCTTATCCTAACCATCAAACTCATCGCCCTACCGACGTTAACCCTAGCAACAATGCGGTTTCTCAAGAGATTGTCAGGCATTCACGTCCACCTCGTTCCCATAGAAACCCTTTTCAGACCCCAAGACAGGGGCAAACTGAAACCATCCCTTGGGCTACTATTCAACGTGCCATGGAAAATAGCCTTGACTATATTTTATCTCGTAACATGACTGTGATCAGTGGTGAAGTTCAATGCAAAAAATGCGAGAAGGTTTATAACATTGAATATGATTTAGAACAAAAGTTCAGGGAGATTGCAGCTTTTATATCAGAAAACAGGTCTGCTATGCATGATCGAGCGGAGTCTATGGATGAATCCAAACCTTCCTAGTTGCGAATTTTGTGGTAGTTCTGTGAAGCCTGTTCTCTCAAACAAAAGATCAATAAATTGGTTGTTTTTGCTGTTGGGAAAGAAGCTGGGGTTTGTAAACTTTCAGAGTTGAAGTATTTTTGAAAGCATACAAAGAACCATAGGACGGATGCTAAGGATGAGTACTTTATCTCACTTATCTAGGATTATGTAAGCAATTAGAACCCAAGGGAACTTTTGATGTTTGATTTCATTTTCAGATTTTTTTTTTTTCTAACGTGTCTGATTCTTAATTGTTAGATTGGTAATTCTGTCGTTTTACTACTATTATCTTTATGATGTTACGTCTATGCTTGTTACTGTAGGTTTTGTTATAATGTCAAGTTCCATGGTTACCAACATCAATTTCTTAAATATATTTTGTAGCTTAGAATGATACCTAAAGTTCGAGGAGAAAAGGCCATTAATGTTAATTATATTTCCTAACAAAAAGAAATCCAATAGCTGGGAATTCATATATTTGAAAAGGAATGGAAAACATATAGGATGAATAGTATATTCGGATTTTGAAATGTAGATGGATACCCTTATCAGTTATCAATTAATATACGACAGTCTCTTCACTTTTTTTTAGAAATCAAGAGATCACTAGACAGTCCGATATTCGGAGAAATTCATGATAAAAAAAAAAAAAAATAGAAGACATCAAGAGATCACTAGACAGCCCAATATTCGGAGAAATTCATGAAAAAAAAAAAAGAAAAAAAAAAGGTGATGGTTGTTGCTGAGAAGGCAATAAGTATGATGCTTGTAGTTGCACTTGAGCTTTTTGTAACTGCACTCGTTTTGGACTTTGCCTTCTGGATACATGATCTGATCTTGTCTTTTTTTTGGGAGTTAAAATTCGGGGTTGTTGTACTCAAGCCTGATCGAGAGACCCACCGCACGTAGGTTTTGGTTTTAACATCAATGGTGAAAATGGTGGAATATATTCATACCTTTTGATAATTGTTGCTGTTGTAAAGATTTAGAACTTATTTATACATTCATGAAATGATCATTCCAATCATTTGTATATGTGAACTTTCTAAACCAAAAGCTTGGTACTACCCTTGCATTGTACTACCTCAGCTACTAGTTCATCTACCAACAATCTCTCGATTTCCCTACCTATTACATCAATATCCTCCTCCAAGTCTAACCATTCACATTCCCCTGCAAGCACTATCTCTCCTGCATCCATTTGCAGGTTCTTGTTTTCGCTTACCAGAGATTTGCGCAGGCTATCTTCAGGCTCTCCTATGCTCCACTTCGGAATCATTTTTCTTGCAGATTTTACCCATGGGTGTTGGCCTATAAATTGTTGATAGATCTCCAGTAGCTTTGAATTAATCCTATCGAACATCAACCTCCTTTCAGCCCTTGACCAAGAATTTAGATTACAATATTTTTTCTCAAGTTCTTCAAATACTAATGGATTCACTGGACATTCTGGAGAATGCCATGTACCTAAGAAGGTATCCAGGTCGGCTCCATTAATTCCAGAATCAACCAAGACATCAACTATGTACACAGACTCCCAATTCTCTTCCGCCCTTGGTGTCCCTTTGTCCTCGGCAAACCCAATAGATACTTCATCACCATCATCATCACTTGAAACAAGCATAGTTCCCTCTTCATATGCCTCAGATTCTAGTTTTAATAGTTGAAGTTGCATCCGAAGCCCTAAAAACATAAACAGAACTAAAAAAAATTAAACAGAATAGGTAGAATCACACGCTATGAAAAATAAAAACAGAATGTTTCATGCAGCATAATGGGATGAACTCATAGGAGTCCTGTAATTATACTGTAGATTTAAACAATGACAATCCATTCACTTAGATATTGAAGGACAGCTTATGATTCCCTAGCTTTAACGTCCCTTAATACTAGAATCAGATCAAAGAATTTGAAAAATTTAAGAGCCATGGCTTTTCTAATCAAAACAGATGCTAAATATAAATGGAAACTAAAAGAGCCACTAAATTACCATGGAGATCAGCACTAATACTTTCAAAGCATTCAGAACCAGATGACACATCATCTGTGAAAGGAGCTTCTATAACTGAAACTGGACTGGGTTGATCTGCCTCCTTTGAGCCAGCTCGAGATTCTAGTTCTGGTACAGGGCAATGCAATGGGGCTTGCTTAGATGGCGCCTCTGATGAGTCCTAGAGATAATTGCAAGAGAGATCCATTTGTTAAACTGAGTAGAGAAATTTCGCAAATATGAACCTTATGCTGTAATATTATATAATTGTGATCAGATAAAATTGGCAAGGGAAAGACGCAGAAGAAAACTGAGCAACTTAGAAGTTCACCCTTGTTAAGCTATACACTAGAAAATCCTTATTTGGAGACTTACAAGGGTGGACTTGTACGTTGCTTTAACCCTTGTAAAATTTTATTTGAAAGACCGGGGGTGCCCAAGGTATTAAGTTTGTCAAATATCCCTAACAACACCCAATAAGCAACAGCACGAGGGAGGTTAAAAGAATAGACGCACATATTTGGAGACTTAAGCTAATACACCATTCAAACAAAAAATAAAAAACAAATACCTGGGAGTCCAATTTATCTAGGTCACCACTAGAAACATCAGCATTCACCAAGGCAGGAGCTGATAATTCTAAGAGAGAAGGTTTAGATAGCACAGCGTTATTCTGAACATTAACATGCCCTGCATTTTTAAGAACTGGACTTGAATCCATGGCAGTACTAGCAGATTCTCCTGAGACCATAAGGTTGTGTTCAGATTGATTATCCCCTTCAAAATTTTGATGTACCTGATATGGGGTGATATGAAAATCTGGTGAAGTGTCACTATGTTTCTTATTACTACTGCTACTACTACTCAGAAATTGAGGTTTCTTAACACAGGATCTTTGGTTGCTACGCAATGGAGCTTCCCGGTGATTAAAATTGCCTTTCACGGCCTTGTCCGTGTCCCACTTGAAACCCTCTTTTGGAATCACGTACTTGTCTCTGCGAAGACTTTCATAACGTGTGCTTATTCTAGGACTTCCAAAGTCAGTAGAAGAAGCAGGAAGAGATCGTGATCTTGAGAGATTACCAAGACATCCATCCTTCCAACCATCCCTAGTGCTAATTCCCAAAGGTTCACTCCACACTGCTGACCCAACATGATTACCAGTCCCACTGCATCCTTCCACACCAACAACGCCACTAGAATTTGCTCGGCTCACTTCCCTATCCGAGATGGCAAGCATTTCACCCAGTGTGTTGCCCCTACAAACCATCCGCACCTCTTGAGACCCATGTGTTAATTTCCACCTCTCAGATAGTCTCTTCTTGGCCTCCCTACTAACTGATGATTCACTAGAACATGATGATGACCTCCTATGTCGCTTATTCCAGCCAATGTTATCTCTGTAAGACACTGTTGTTACATCTGAATCATTTGCAGATTCAGATCCCGATACATCACAGGAACTCTCATCCCCTGCATATCCTCTAAACCTGGTGGTTGAAATTTTCATTGAACCATTGCTAAAGCTATTTTTCATTTGCCTAGTAATCTCCTTTGCCATTTCCCTAGACTCTCTAGAATTATGCCTTGAAAACCCAATATCTTGGTGAACCTTTTTCTTGCCCCATATTTCTGTACCCAAAATTTCTAGGTGTCTGCAATTGGATGGAAAATGATGAGAAGAACTAGGTGATGAAGCAGTTCTGGTAGAGTTTTGTGACTTCCCAAGATTTGGTTTCAAGACAACAATTCTTGTGGGTACAATAGCGGGCCCATTTTTCTCATCTAATTGAACCTTAGGTGACTTGGGTGGATTGAGAGTTGCATATCTCCCATAAGAGTGGCTCAAAAGATCTTCTTGAATCCCTTGAGGAGATTTACTTTGGTGCTTCAATTGAGTTTCTCCCCTTGCTCTTCGGACTAAGCGACCATTTTCGTTGTTCAGAGTGTGTGATGACTTCATGACTGATATTTGACCACAATGGGACTGGGGTGGAGAACCTTGCAGGTCATGCAAATGTTTTGAGAATAATGAATCTGGCTGCTGAAGGAATTTCAGGAGAAGATCCGTGTTGGAGTCTAACACCTCAAGGGTATCATTGAATTCCTCAGAATCCTGAAGCTTTTCATCCGTTGAAAGACGTTTAGCCTCCATAAACTTCTGCTGGATAAAGGCCACCTCAGCATCAGAAAGCTTTGAGTTTGCAGTCCCCTGTGAAGAGGAACCAGCAATCTCCACTTTTGATGCATCTAAAACTTCAAAAACATCTTTAAATTCCTGCTCCTCCTTTGAGCTTTTCCTAGAAGATCGACGGCTATAGAATGTACCACCCTTTTGAACTTTCTCTTGACCACTTTCTGTTCGTTTCTGCTGCTTGTGGCCAGGCTGCTGAGGTGGCAGTCCATCCAGGCCCATCAATCTTGCTATAACACTTGGTGGTCGTCTTCTAGATTCATTTTCTTTTGACATCTCTTGTGCTAACAACTTCTTCATTGGGGTTCCAGTTGATTGTTTTGTCGATCTCCAACCCAACTCAAACGTTAACTAAAACAACCAGAAACATTGATTATAGCTATCAACTCATTTCGCACAAAAATAAAATTTCAGGAGAATCTAGAGCTAAAAGAGTATAGTGCTTAGAAGGATAACTCTTATCATATAACAAAATCATGGAAACAAGAAAAACCAGCACACCTGATCTTCGTCTGTAGTGTCACTAAGACAGGAACTAGAATCAGATGCCAATTTTGGAAATTTCCTGTGTTCCTGAAGCTGCCTGTTTCCTGTAAATGAATCCCAATAAAAGCATTAGGATAGCCATTCCAGGAGAAAAGAAAGGGGCAGACTCAAAAATATTTTAGAAGCAACGCTTAAAAGCTCATGAAATCAACATAACCATAAGAACCATAAGAATTATTCTCATAAACCAAAAGAGAGAGAGAGAGAGAGAGAGAGAGAGAGAGAGAGAGAGAGAGAGAGAATGGAAAACACAGAAACAAATTCAACCTTAGGAAAATGTTTAAACAAGTAATAAGCAGAAAAAGAAAGCAAATATTCAGAGAAATAGGAAAAAAAATTAAAAGCAACCCTAAGCCATGCAATCATGGCTCATCATAACCCTAGAAAAACAAGCAAAATCATGTTGATAGCACCATAGAAGAAAAGTCAGAAAGGACTTAACAAAAAAAAAAAAGACTAACTTTAACGAAAGCATAAGCAAAGGCATGAAGTCGGGGATAGCCAATATATATAAGTAAAAAGTGCATGCTATATAGAGAAATGATACAAAAATTAAGATAAATTTTCAAGAATGCGATGCGAGTGAGCAGAATAAGGTAGCAAATTCAAAACTCAACATTTAACGGTGAGAAACTAAAGAAGAAAGCAAGAAAAAGGGGGAGTTTACATGAACAGAAAACGAAGGGAAAATGCTGCGTTTGGTAACTAAGAAAACGTAGGAAAGTGAAATTAACTGTAACGGGGAAAAAAGCTTAAAATCAAGATTTTTTTTTTTTGGCAAGCCAAATTCAACAGAATAAAGTCTCTCAATTTTATGAGTCATTTTTCAAAACAGAAAAGAAACAATGGAATCTTTATATAATAAAGGAAATAAAAATTAAAAAAAAATTCTTCGTTTTACCTCGGATTCCTTAGCAGCCAAACCGAGTGACAATATGACTTTAAAAAATACGTAAAAAAAAAAAAAAGAGAAAAACGAACCTCTGGAGAAAGCAGGGGCAGTTGAAGGAAGTTGTAAATCAGTGAAGCTATGATCAGCAGAGAAGCTCGAAATCTTCGGCCTCCGTTGCCAAAATGTCTCCATTTTAACTTATTTAACAAACAAAAAACAAACAAACGCTTCTTTTCCTTACGAAAACAAAAAAAAGGCAGGTAATGCGGAAGAAATCTAGATCGGAAATCCTGGAAAAAAAAAAAGCAAGCTAGGAAGAGTGAAAAAGAATCCAAAAGAACTCATTACCCAAAAAAAAAAAAAAGAAAAAGGAAACAAATATGAAAAATCCAGATCTTGAACAAAAGAAGAAGAAAATTTGATAAAGTTTAAAAAAAAAAAAAAAGAAAAGAAAAGGAAGAGAAAGTTGTTAGCTGAGATAGTTAAAACGGAGAGCGTGACAACGGCAGGGGCAATAAAGAGGGCGAGTGGTGTGGGAGGGAGGGGTCCGTTAGAACCGTCGAAGACTGGGAAGAGAGCATAGTATTAGTGCGTGAAGAGAGAGAAAGAAGGAAGTTGAAGTTTTTGAACATTCAAATAGTAAGAGAGAGAGAGGAGAGGGTTGGGAGGACTCCGCGCGGGCAAGAGCAGAGCCCCATGCCCCTATCGGAAGCCGAACCAATCGTACACGTGTAGGTATTTGTGTTGTCGCGTTTTCCGTACTTACTGGATTGGTTCGGAAAATTAGCCTTTTTTTTTTTTTATCTCCTTTACCTTCTTTTGATTTGGCATTAACTTGAAGTTTAACAGCTTCGATATAAATAGGAAATTTTGAAATAGATGTAATGTACTTACAATAACTGTATTTGCAACTAACTAATTTAATACTGGTTTTATTTCATAATAATTGAGATATGCTTTAGAAGAAACAATAATTTTAAGACAAAAGTTCAGCTCAAATTCATGAATACGATATACTATTATTTTATTTCAACCTAACCTACATAATGACACTGAACTTAAAATATTCGATCATAAAATATAATTGTGTCGCAATAAAAGAAATGCTTATCACATTGCCAAAAATTTTAAAATAAGAATTAAAATTCTCATATTTGAAATTTAATTATGTAGCAGCTACTCGATTTTATTTAGGGATGAAAATTTAGTTGGAACCCATCAAGTTCTAACTTGACCTAATCTTATAAAATTATATTATATATAATATATATCAGTTTTTGAATCGAATTATGTTTTAAATAAATTTGATTTGATCCAATATATATATATTTTTTATTATTTATTTAATTTTATATTTTTATATATTTTTTATATTTATATTTAAAAAATAATATTTTATTAATTTCAAATCCGATGAAATTTTATATAATATTAGATCAAATCAAATTCGAAACAAATAAAAATTCATCTCCGACTTAATCTTTTATCATCTGTAGTTTTATTACATAAATAAAACTTTTTTTAGTTATAAAAAAACATATTTACAAGTAAACTAGAAATTAGGCAATATTAATGCAAGTAAATTGTTGGAAAACAAGTTTACCATTTCTTGCAAGCCAAATATATTTAAAGGGTGAATAATGAACATTTTAGTAAGACTTATATTATATATGCGCTTGTTCTGCGCACCATAATGATCATGACCATCTCAAAAGTTTTCTCTTAAGGCTTAATTTGTTTATTTATTTCATTTAAATGTAGCTTAATTTATATTAATATTAATCCATATAATCAAAAGATTAAGTTGCTTTTAAAACTTACAGTGGAACATGCGGTTCCTAAATTTTTTAAAAAATTGTTCTTAATGAGTAAGATTTTGTAGTTAGCGGTTGGTTATTAGTATTATTTTTTTTAGCAGTAAGAAATTTTTAGATTTTATTTAGCATATTTTTTAAATAGGTTTATTTATATTGTATTTAAATACTAAATTTGATAATGTATATATCTATATCATATCAAATATTTGTAAAACACAAAAAAATTAACATATTAAATTTGTGTCAATACTTTAAACACAAAATATATTTTTTATATTTATTAAATTCATATATAATTTTTATCAAAATTTTGAATTATATTTTATCATCATATCATATTTAAAATTATTAAACTAAATCTAATGGAATGTATAAATTTTTTTTTTTTTGCAAACTCTCAGCAAATTCTAATCCAAATAACAAAAGAAAAACACATTTTTTTTGTCATTTGGACTAATCATCTATTATTTCTTTACCTGCAATTAAAAATTGTTTAATGTTGCGTTTGTTAGTGAAACAAGATAAAATGTTGGGGCTAAACCTACTCATCTTTTAGACTTTGAGAACTGAACTGTTGACAAGAATTGAAGAATTTTTCGACAGTAAAGACAGCGACTCAGACCAAACAAAGTTTGTGGGAATCTTTAATGTTGAATACTACTCAATGCTAAGCCAAGGGGGACCCGACTCGCTAGGTGGCCTTGCAGATGTAGGTGAAAGCTTTGGGTTTTGTTTTGTTTTTAGTTTATGAAGTTGAGTCAAGCCTTTGTTGTTTTTGTGATTGGGAATGAGGAAAAAAAAACATTGTCAATGGGATTTGTGTCCTCAATAGTAGTTTTGTACTAGGGACCTGAAAAGGATCACATAGACCCAGATTTCTACACCTTTTTTTTTATAACACTTAAACCGAAGCCATTTTTGGGGTATGGTCTTCCTTATAACTTCTAATCCAGGATTTGGTGGGATCTAAATTTCACTTTAGGTCTACTTGTCAAGGTGATTTTGGTGCTACAATTTTGCACCTTGCTATGAAAATTGCTGAATTCACAGTCAAATCTCACAGTAATCCAATGATTTGGTGAGTCACTCTTTCAATTATTGGCTTTGACATGGTGTGAGTGCAAACTGTTAAACAGCTAGCAGCTGGGCTGATTCCCATGATTTTTGGATCAGTAAGGAACCTTTTAGCGCATGTCAAAACAAATCAATCAGCTTCAAGAATGATTAATTTGAAGTTTGTAAATGAAGCAATGTCATCAAATAATAATTGGAGAACTAATTCGTAATAGGGATGCCATTTTGTATGGTCAATTTCTTTCTGGATTAACTCTGCCTCCAATTTGTCTCGTCCTCAAAACATTTTCTCAAAAGTTGCAATAATTTTCTACCTACTTCCTACATGACTGGTATGGACAGGCCAAACCCATACCAGTATCTGCTAAATTACTAATTTCAATCTGATGAAAACAGAAAAAAAAATAGAAAATAAACAAAGAAAACTCACTTCCTGTCACATGAAATGCAAAATCCTGAGCCAGGAAGCAAAAAACCAAACTCTCCAAAACTGTTGTTGTGCACTTGTTTCATGTTCTGCCGTAAGGGTCAAGTCAGATATGATCTGTTTCACTAACCATTCCTGTATCTCATCAAGGCATGATTAGCTCGGAAAACCTTTATTTCAGTGTAAAAAGCCAAAGCCAAAGCCAAAGCCAAAGCCAAAGCAAAAGGGCACCATAACAAGAAAAATGATTGTTGTCTCCAGTCTACACAATAAAGTTGATTAATAAAGCTAAGTTCCGCTCTTCCATTCCATCACAATGATGGAGAGTGTTCTCTATGATTTTCCTTTCCTTCTAGACACTTTTCTTTTTAACGAGGGATCCAAAGGGTGATTTGTAGAAGCATGTGAAACAAAGAAGTTTTGATAGCCCCCACCACCCACAACCAGAAGTTCATGAATACTCGCATCTGATTACCCTTTTCTAATACATTTTCTTGTCTGATTTCTTTTGTTTCGGTACTGTCTTATAACCAATCTCATGTAAAGCAACTACAAGTAAGAACAATTGCCTTTACATCAATGAGTTTGGAATTGACAAGGCAAATGTGTTTCTGCCAGGGTGAATTTGTTTACCTATTTAATTAGTTGTAGACTCATGGATAACCAAGGAAAGGATCTAAGAAAGCGTTAGACACCCAAAGGAAATGCAATACAACTAGGGATTTAAATTGTGATAGCGGTCACGTTTTCAGTCACATCACATTTGTCATGGTTACGGATATAACAGAGACCTTCGCAGTCATTACGGCTATCACAATCGTGAATTTTTTTAAATTTTGCTCAACTTGCTATAAAATATAATAATTTTAATTATTTATCATAAAACCTCTTATTTTATGATTTTTAAAGTAATTTATATCATATCATGTGTTTTATTTATTTTAAAAAAATATTTATAGTAAAATATTCATATTTAAAAAATTATTTATATGATAATTAAAAAATAACAAGAGATAAATAAACATATGAAAAATAAATAATCATAATGAATTATATATTTAATTATTTAATTACTGTACTCATTAAATTATTACCGAACTATATTATGCATAAATCAAATAATAAGTGATTAGACATTCATAAATTAAGTAACAACATTATTATTTATGAGTCAAGAGAATTGCTTTTTATGAACTTACAGTAAATCAAACTTGACAGCCTCTATATTGTGGGCAATTTTCAACACTAATAGCTTCAAGTCCACTTCCTCTGCCTCTTGACTAAATTGCATAGCCCACACAACTTCTCATCCTTTCACCTTGCATTTAATAATTTTTTTCTCGAAACCTTCATCCTTATCCTCCTCTCTCAGTTCTCTTTTTATTTGGTGTGTGCTATCTGCTTGCTTTCATCAACCTCAAGTCCCACTCTCATCTCTTGTCTCTCATTTTAAGTCCCAATAACTCCAGCCTCTATCTACCAATGTATCATAGTCCAATCTAATCCTAAACATACAAAATCACAGTAAATTTGAAAATTAAAAAGAAAGATAATTTGAGTGTTGAATTAGTTGCTTACTTTAAATTGCATATACTCAATTTTGATTGAAGTTGAATTTGAGAGAATTGATAGTTTTTGAAGTTTAAGTTTTGTAGGTTTTTTTTTTTCTGAATTTGTAAATTGATGTTTATTTTCTTTCTTATTGTTTTTATTTTAAGGTTTTAAACAGAATCAAATGATTTTTTTTTTTGAATTTTTGAATGAAAATAGGAAAGTGGCACTAACGGGCAATAACGGACCGCTATTGTCGCTATTCACCATTACACCGTAATTAGTGACTACGATTCACCTGCTATAAACGAGATTCAAATTCTCCTTCATTTTTTCTCTAATAATGGTAGCGGATAGTGGCACGACCGTAAAATAGCGACAGCTACACCGCTATCGATCGCTATTTGAATCTTTGAATACAACTAAGATGAAATTCAAGGATGAGAAACATGATTCTGACCTGATCTAACATTCTTGCACTCATAAGAA